TACATGACAGCAAAAGAAAAAAAATCGCCCCTTTGTTCTCTTATATTAGGTACCTGGACATTGGCTAGCATTATCTTAATAGCAACTGTTTTCTGTGAAAATGGAGGGTGTTCCGAACCTCCACCACCTCCAGGACCCCCTGGACCTCCAGCACCTCCAGGACCCCCGGGACCCCCAGGACCTATAGGACCTCCAGGACCTCCCGGACCTGCTGGACTTTCCGGACTTCCAGGACCTCGGGGTTGGTTGAGGCCTCCTGGGCCAAGAGGTAGAAGAAATCTATTTCTTGGTAGATTTCTTCTATCAAGATATAGATTTCTTCTCTAACTTGTTTTTTTGTTTGAACAATTGTGAAATGCTTTACTTTTCTCCTAAATCTCCTTTGTGTCCAGCACATCATTAAGAATGGCAGCATTCGGGTATTTGTTGACTCCTTTCTCCCATTTCTTCTGGGATTTTTTTTTTCAGGTGCTTGTTAAAGAAGAAAAAGGTTTTGTTCCAAGAAGAGCAATCGGTTATTATGGGGGAGTGTCTCCTTCCCCTGTTCCATCCACTGCAATGCAGTGAGGGGTGCACTCTATTGAGGGTTAGCAAAGGACCCAGGTTCAGCCAAATCTTCTTCCCTGGGACTTTTCCACCAGAGCTGGATCGCTATCCCACCCCTCATCTCTGCTGCTAACAATTCTGAATGTGCATGAGTTTAGAAACTGCCAGTAGTGGTGTCTCGAGCCACCTGGGGCAGCTGGGTGGAGAGTCTGAAGGCACCAGGCAATAAGAGTAGGAAGAGAAGACATGAGACACACAGCACTTTCCTGGCTCCAGCCCCCAGGGTCCTCATCATTGTCTGATGGCCTGTTTATCCAAAACTTCGCTTCCCTCTCTTTTGCCACACCTCCTTCACTGGCTAAGAGTTCTTTAGCTAACCAACCACAAGGCGAGTGGTTCCAACCCAGCAGCCTTCCCAAACTTCCCAAACACAGACTTCCCAAACGAAACCTCGTCTCATAATGACCCCATCGGACAGAGTAGAACTGCTCCTTGGGGTGTCTGAGACTGTCCATCTTTACAGGAACACAGTCTCACCTTCTCCTGCAAGGCAGCTGGTGAATCTCGCCGTTAACACCCCAACACTTAACTACGACACCACTAAGGCTCTCAGCCCTGAGAAAATGTTGAGGGGAAGTTCTACTCCTTTTCATGGGGTCCCTCACTGTGAATCAGGTTGGATTCAACAGCCACGGCTTGGGGTTTGGTTTGGTTTGGTATCCGTTTCCATAAATCCCACATACTTCTTCAGCTAGTTCCATTTGATTCCCTGTAATCAAGAAACCTTGTATGTATGGGAAGGCATGCACAAAAAGGATGCGTGGCTATTGTGAGACACTACTAGAGAAAGAGCTATGTAAGGCACAAGACGTGTGGCCTGAACCTCCGAAAAGGGACATTTAAAGTTGGTTTTGATTTACAGCATCATAGGAAAGTATGGGTTAAATGCTTTTACCCATTGACATCAAATCAAAGGCAATTCCAAGTGACCCTGTAGGGTGTCCATGTTCATGAATGTTTACAGTAATGCGGCCACATCTTTCTGCTGGAGGGCAGCTGATGGGCAGAAGCCATCATCCTTAGAGATGCCAGAGCAGGAAGCGTTATGGATGGAAAGAATCGGGGGAGGAATGAGCAGCGATAGGATGGGGTCCCAAAACAGAGGGGCAAGAAACCGAAATCCACTCAAGAAGGGTCAGAAGAAAGTGACCTCCTCTAGTTCCATGGACTCACAATGCAAATATGAGAGTCGTGGCGGAAGCAGGCCCCTGACATAGATTGTGTGTCATGAGTCTAGGTAGACAATCTGGCCATCAAGACCCAACCATGCTGTTCTATTAAGTGAGCATCTGGATAAGGCAGCAGAAGTTTCCCCAGACCCTGTCCTGGTCATCCAGGGCTTCCTTCTAGGTAAGTGAGAACTCTCAGGGAAACTCACGTTTCAGTCCCGTGTGCTCTCTTCTGGGGTCATGATCAGTGGCCATGGGGCATTACAGCTGATGACCCAGACATTTTCTGGTCCTCAGGATTAGACACCCAGGTCTTTTCATTTCTTATCTTTGGGGAAAGCAGACTCATTCGTAGAACTTGCTGATGGTGTTGCTGTTTATTCTGACCCATGGAGACACTGTGCGCCGAGTGGAACTTCTCAGTCGGCTCTTTCCGACTCCCACCTTTCCGAGGCGATCCCCAGGCCTGCCTTTTGAAGTGCCTTTAAGTGGCTTGGAACTGCTCCTTTCTTCTGCCTACTCACACCGCACTTACCGCTTCCTACCCCCAGGGACTCTTTGACAAAAATCGCGGTTGTTGTTAGGTGCCTTCCAGTCCGTTCCAGGCCGTCGCCACCTGACATGTACGATGAGACACTGATGAGTCCAGCGCCGTCCTCACAATTGTGCCTGTGCTTGATGCCACTCGTGCAGCCACTGATTCCACCCATCTCCTTGAGGGCCGTCCTCTTTTGCACTGCCCCTCGACTTTACCAAGCACGCTGTCCTTCTCCAAGGACTGGTCTCTCCTGACAACTTGTCCAAAGTCTGTGAGGCGAAGATCGTCGTCCTCGCCTCGAAGGAGCACTCGGGTGTGCTTCTTCGGAGACAGAGTTGTCTTCCACGGCACTTTCGTCTCTTTTACCAGCCTCATAATTCAAGGGCATCAGTTCTTCCTCAGTCTTCCTTATTCAAGGTCTACCTTTCACATGCATCTGAGACGATTAAAAATACCATGGCTTGGGTCAGGCACACTTTAGTCCTCAAAGTAACATCCCTTCGCTTCAGCACTCGAACGAAGTCTTGTTCAGCCCATTTAGCCAATGTAACATGACATTTGATCTCTTGACCGCTGCTTCCAGGAACATTGATTGTGGATCCAAGGAAGGTGAAATCCTGGATAACTTCCAACTTTTCTCCATTTATCAGAAAGTTACCTATCGGTCTAGTTGCAGGGACTTTTGTTTTGTTTGCATTGAGTTATCATCCGTACTGAAGGCTACAATCCTTGGTCTTCATCAGCAAGCGCTTCCCGTCCTCCTCACTTCTAGCAAGCAAGGTTGTGTCATCTGCCTATCGCAGGTTGTTCATAAGCCTCCCTCCAATCCTAATGCGGCATTCTTCTTCATATGATCCAGCTTCTCTGATTCTTGCCTCAGCATACAGATTGAATAAGTATGGTGAGAGGCTACAACCCTGACACACACCTGTCCTGATTGTAAGCCATGCAGTATTCCCTTGCTCTGTTGCACAACTGCCTCTTGATCCATGCAGACGTTCCCCGTGAGCACAATGAAGTGTCCTGAAATTCCCATTCTTCCTCAAGACGAGCCATAGTTTTTTAGGATCTACGCAGTCCAATGCCTTAGCATAGTCACTAACACACAAGTAAACATCTTTTTGGTAGTCATCTGCCATCAGCAATGTTCCTTGTCCTTGTTCCATGTCCCCTTCTGAATCTGGCCTGGACTTCTGGTGGCTCTCTGTTAAGGTACTGTTACAACCATGGTTGGATGATCTTCAGTAATATTTTACTTGGATGTGACATGAATGATATTGCTCTATGATTTGAGTATTCTGTGGAGTTACCTTTCTTTGGAATGGGTACACATATGAATCTATTCTCGCCAGTTGTTCAAATAGCTCTCTTCCAAATTTCCTGGCATAAATGAGTAAATGCTTCCAATGCTTTCAGTGCTCGCATGCTTGTTGAAACATTTCCATTGATATTTCTTCAATTCCTGGACCCTTGTTTATAGCTGATGCTTTCAGTGTAGCTTGAACTTCTTTCCGTTCAATTCCTTCATGCTCATATGCTACCTCTTGTAAGGGCTGAATGCCAACTACATCTTTTGAGTACAGCAACTTTGTATATTTCTTCCATCTTCTTTTGCTGCTTTTTGCATCGTTCAATATTTTGCCTATAGAATCTTTCAATCTGGCAACTGGAGGCTTAAATGTTTTCTTGAATATTGTCAGTTTAAGATATGCGGACCTCTTCTTCCCTTCGGTGTTCTAGCTCCAGGTCTTTGCACATTTCACTATAGTCCATGACTTCGTCTTCTCGAGTTGTCGTTTGGAATGCTCAGTTCAGCTCTTTGACTTCCACCTTGCTTCCCTGTGCCTGATCCACTCTGTAATTAAGAGCAAGTTTCTGACATCTACTTGATATTTCCTTTCTTTCCTGTCTCTCTGATGAGCTTTTGTTTTCTTCATGAGTGATACTCTTATTGTCCTCTCATAGCTCATCAATTCTCTGTCATTAGGGTTCCATGAGGCATATCTGCTTTTGAAAGGTTCTTAAAGCGCAGGTGAGATAGATTCAAGGTGATATTTTGGCTCTCGTGGCCTTCTTTAATTTTTTTTTCAGCTTCAACTTGAACTTACATACAAGCAATTGATAATCCATTCCACAGTCAGCCTCAGGCCTGGTTTTAGCTGTTGATATTGAGCTTCTTCATTGTTTCTTCCCACAGATGTAGTTGCATTGATTTCTCTCAGTTCCACCTGGGGAAATCCATATGTGCATTCACCATTGTGTTGTTGAAAAAAGGTATTTGGCATGAACAAGTTGTTGATCTTGCAAAATTCTGTCATGATCTCTCCAGCTTCATTTCTATCACCAAGACCCTATTTTCCAACTATTGTTCATGCCTCTTTGTTTCCAACTTTTGTATTCCAATCACTAAGAATTATCAATGCATCTTGATTGCATGCATGCTCAATTTTGGACTGAATACATTGGTAGAATTTCTCAGTTTCCGCATCACTAGATTTTGTGGTTGGCACATAAATTTGAATAATAGTTGTATTGATTGGATTTTCTTGAAGGAAGATAGATGGAATCTTATACCAACATTATGCTTCAAGATATATCTTGACATGTCCTTTTTTTGACAACGAATACAGTGCCATTCCTTTGGATTATGTCATTCTTGGCAGTGTAAACCATGATTTTCTAATTCAAAATGGCCAATCCCAGTTCATGTCAGCTCCTTATTGCCTAGGACAGCAGTTCTCAACCTTCCTCAGGCCACAACCCTTTCATACAGCTCCTCATGTGGTGACCCCCAACCATAACATTATTTTCATTGTTACTTCATCACTGTCATTTTGCTACTGTTATGAGTTGTCATGTAAATATCTGATATTCAGGATGTATTTTCATTGTTACAAGTTGAACATAATTTAAGCATAGTGATGAATTAAAAAACAATATGTAATTATATATTGTGAAATATTTATCTCTAGTCACAAATAGATGACATTTTGTCTTGAAGCATGGTGCAGCATGGATCACAGTCTTCAAGCCTGGTACTCATATATGGGTGTATCTGCATGTGGGCGGACCCGCCTGGAGCCGGATAGAGGAGTGGTGTCTCAGTTCCTAAGACCATCGGACATATGTGTTTTCTGATGGTTAGGCGACCCCTGTGAAAGGGTCGTTCGGCCCCCAAAGGGGTCACAACCCACAGGTTGAGAACTGCTGGCCTAGGACATAAATATACATTCCATTTCATTTTTGGCCACTTTCCATTTTTCCCAGATTCGTACTTCATATTTTACAAGTTCTGATTATTTGTGGATTTTTGCAGCTCTTTCTTCTCGTTTTGTGTTTGGCCCCATCAGCAAATGAAGATCCTGAAGGCTTTACTCCCACAGGATTTATTCCATTCACGTCACCAATTGTCGACTCTATTTTGACAAAGCCACACTTCCTTAGTCACATTTTCAGTGCCTGCTGACCAGAAGGGCCCATCTCCTGGTGGCTGCTTGGATGACGTTCTTCCATGCGTTAGGTTTTCAGTATCTGACAATGTTCCAATGCTACGCCCCAAGTTTTCAGCAACTTCTTCCTCTGACATAGGCGCCCAATTTGTTCTTCATCATCTGTACTTAGTCTGGAAGCTCTGCCGAAACCCAGTCACCTTCGGTGATCCTGTTGGCACTGGAAATACCAGTGGCACCACTCCCGGCTTCACAGCATCGCACAGCACGACACACTGACAGAGGTCAGCCACATCTGCCGGGGGAAATAGTGATGGCATCACTGTCATCCTTTTCAAGTGCCCCTCCATTTTGACCAACCAGGATGTCCTTCTCCACCGACTATCGTCTCTCCTGATCACATGTCCAAAGTACGGATGCCAAGCCTCCCTCTTCTGCCCTCTAAAGGGGCGCTCGGGCTGTGCTTCTTCCAAGACAGATCTCTTTGTTCTTTTGCCAGAACAGTGCCATCAGTATGAATATTTTAAAAAACACTACTCCAAACTGAGCCAAACCCATTGCCATCAAGTTGATTCTGATTCACAGCAACCGCAGAGCCGAGAATAGAGCTGATCCTCAGGGTTTCTGAGACGAAATCTTTATGGCAGCAGACAGACTTATCTTTCTCCTAGGAGAAGCTGGTGGGCTTGAACAGGGAGCCTTGTGATTAGCTCACACGCAAGCTTCGTGATTAGCTCACCCAATTTGTACCGCGTCGGGTGTGGGTGCAGCGATGGGCTGCGAGGGGAGGGACTTGTCGCAGGAATTTGAGGCTGTCTGCTCAGGTAAAGAGTTCCAGTCTCAGAAACCAGTGATCGGGCCACCACGAGTCAGCGTATACTTGATGGCAGTGGGTTGGGTTTAAAGCAGCGGTTTTCAACCTGTGGGTCACGACCCCTTTCACAGGGGTCACCTGATTCATGACAGTAGCAAAATGACAGTGATGAAGTGGCAATGAAAATAATTTTATTATTGGGGGTCACCACCACATGAGGAACTGTATGAAAGGGTTGCAGCAGTAGGAAGGTTGAGAACCACTGGTTTAAAATATCGCAGGGAGTATGGAGGATTATCAAGGAACCAGAAGTCAAGAGAAATTACAATAATAGGCAACATGTGTTAAGAACAGAGCTTCACATGTGATAGACACCACATAACATATTTATATGAAGGGCCCCACTAAAACTCCAAATATTCCAATGTGAAGTCACGATTTATTATCACCTTTTTAAAAAAAGGAAGACTTGGAGCCTTAGAATGGTTCATTGGCTTTCGGACACAGCTGGTCATTTCAGAGATGTGACATTAGCCATTTAAAGCATATGCCTAATAGCAATCTCTATGCAACAAGTGGGCGGTCTCATAGGTTTCTGAGAGAATCACCTTCTTCTCATTTTCAGGTAGATCAGGAGGTCCTGGACCTGACTTCCAATGTCCGTGCAACACAAAGCCAGCCTTCACCGCTAAGCTCAAGGACAAGCTGCCTTCACCTACCACGCCTGTCGGTTTCACAGAGGTGTTGTACAACAGTGGGGAAGACCTGCAGGGAGATATGGGAGTCTTCACCTGCTCGGTAGCTGGCCTCTACCATTTCCACTTTGATGTAGAGCTCCAACACTGTACGATGACGGTTTGGCTGGTGAAGAATCAGGCTCACATCCTGGAAAAGCATCAGGCCTCTGCAGAGGAGTACAGGGACGTGTCAGGCAGATTGGTCCTCCCGCTGAGCCAAGGGGACAAGGTGTGGCTGGAAGCACAAGTAGAACCTGAGCAATCAGAACAAGCCTCTGTGACCATCTATTTCTCCGGTTTCCTGGCATAGGTTTGGCCTCTTTGAAACAGAGACTAGCCCCTGGATGTTTCTGTGGCCTTGAAGGAAGGAATGAACGAAAGAGCAAATAAAACATCCAACAAGTAACGCTATCTCGATGTCTCGGGTTTTCTTTCCCTCCGCCTTGCAAAATTCCGGGAGAAAGACTGCATTTATATAAGGGAACAAGTAGATTTCACCACAGTGGAATCGGGCCTTAGAATTTTATTCCACAATGCAAAATATTATTTCAGTTAGAAATCACTCTTCTTCTACCTCTCAATCAAACTATTCTTTCCTAGTCACCAGGGCTGAATCCACATGCATTTCCATTTCACTTAAAAAAAAATTGAAACAACTTTAAAATAGGTCAACAGGGAGATCAAATGATAAGATATTAAGTGTTAATCTAACCATGTCTGCCATAATCGACTGTATAATGCTCTCTGTCTGATAACACGGCTATTCATATCCCTAAGCTATAATCAGAGGGGAATCATTGGAGGCTTCATCCAGGTGTGGACCCTGCAAATGGGTTTTGCGCTTCCACTGTCATCCATAGCCTTCTACAAATCATCTTTAAGGGAGTAGACAGCCTCATCTTTCTCCCACAGAGTAGCTGGTGGGCTTGAACCACCAACCTTGTGGTCAGCAGTTCCTCCTGTAGCCAACAGGGTCAACCAAAGTCCCTGTCATCCAGTCAATTCTGATTTAAATCTCGCTCCCATGGAATGGCTGGTAGTTTCAAACTCTGACCTTGAAGCTCCTAGCCCAGCATGACAAACATTACAGTGCAAGTCCTTGCTCGTGGGAGAGCATAGTTCTGTCAACAGCCTGAGCCAAGACACCGACAAGTCATGGTTGTCCAGAAACCCTTGTAAGCTCAGATGGATACATTCTTAGCCACAGAACAAATAGGAACAACACCACTTCACTTACAATGGGGCTGCTTGGTACAACCAGGAGCTGGAGAGAGAGGGGGGCCCTGTCGACGTTGTGGGGGAAAGCATGGTTCTGCCAACAGTCTGAATTCAGGCTGCTAGACTCCAGCACTGGGAGAGAATACACTTGTGCAATTTAATGAGTATGTGACATGGATTCTTGACTTGGTGTAAATGGATTAGAAAGAAATCATTTTTTTTAAACATTGCAGAAATACTAACGGCCAGCCAAGGTTGGCTGTGGTGAGCTGCTCTCGAGTCAGCCCGGACTCATGGAAGCCCCATGCGCAATAGAACAATGACTGCTTGGTCCCACAGTCAATTACGCATCAAGTCCCTGTCATCAGTAGGACCTCCATGGCTGATGTGCGGGAGGAGATCTCTGGGTATTGCTTCCTTTTCTATCTCGGTCTGGAAGTTCTCTGTCACACGGCCTCACTGACACATGGGTGGTGACTGCACGTGAGGTGCATTGCCCAGGACGCAAACCTGGGTCTCCCATATGATGTTGTCAGGTGCCATTCAGTCAACTCCAAACCACAGTGGCCCTGTGTACTGCAGAATGAAACACCCCACGGACCTGCGCCAGCCTCACAATTGTTCTTTGCTTGAGTCCCTTGATGCAGACACTGTGTCAATCCATCTCCTCGGAAGTCTTCCTCTTTTTGGCCTCTCTTCCACTTGACCAAGCATGATGTCCTTCTCCAGGGATTGGTCCCTCCTGGCAACATGTCTGAAGTCTGTAAGACGAAGCCTTGCCATCCTTGCCTCTAACGAGCCCTCCGGCCTTACTTCTTCCAATACAAATCAGTTTGTCCATTTAGCAGTCCATGGTACTTTCAGTATTCTTCTCCAGCACCACAGTTCAAAAGCATTGATTCTTCTACAATCCCCCTGATGCAATGTTCAGCTTTCACATGTCTATGATGTAATGAAGACTACCATGGCTTGGGTCATGTGCACTTAGTCCTCAAAGTTATATCCTTGCTCTTCAATGCTTTACAGAAGTCTTGCACAGTAGATTTACCTAATGCAATACTTCTCCCACATGGGAGACAAAAATTCTACACGGACCACCCAGGACCTCTGTGGGTACTGGTACACACACTAAGTTGGTTTTTTTGCCCGAGCATTGCCTTTGTAAACCAGGAAATCTCACACAGTGAACTAAGGTCAACAAAGTTCCACATTGGGACCTGGAAGAAATCGATTGCAAGTCTCTATAGGCACAGACTCAAGCAATAATTACAAGCCGCTTCCAGACATAACGAACCTCCTGCAGGATTGGTTTATCAGGTTTGGGGTCTTGCCAGCAAATGGTCCACAATAGAACAAACAACAAAAAAACACTGACCAGCAGAAAAATGAATCATGAACACAATCTTCCTGAAAACACAGACAGGGTAATTCGACTCATCTCATCACCACCCTGTAAGACAGAGTAGAACTGCCCCTGTGGGTTTCTGCGGTTGAAAATCTTTCTGGGAGTAGAAAGCCTCGTCTTTTTTCTGGAGGAGAAGCTGGTGAGTTCGAACTGCTGACTTTGCAGTTAGCAACAAAAATGTGGAGCCCACCACACCAATCGACTCAGCAGTGAGTTTCATTTGATACCTAGCCTCAAACAGAACTGTCTTGGACTTCCATCTGCTGTTGGGATATAAAAGAATGACAAACACTCCCCTGTACCCATGCTTGACACTAGAAAATAAATCTTAGGAATAAAATTAGTTGTACTGTAGATGGTCAGTTATGTAATTTTAATTCCCCAGGCACTTACCAAACTTGGACGTATCGATCATAAGCTTTATAGATTGTGCTGTGCCAGTTGACAGAGATGTCCCCTGAGACTATACGCAAACCCAGTAAACCGATCCTGCCAGATGCTTGGTTATGTCTGAGAGGGATCTGTGACGTACCGCTATGTACTTTAGTGTATGTACATGTTCAGCCCACATCAACGGGTATATAGTTATACCTATAGATGCTCATATGTAAACACACATATATCTTCCTATCGACATGTATGTTAAAGCATTTACCAATGGCGTCCCCTATTCCTGTGTATTTCTTCTGGGTTTTTTTTGTAATACTTTATTGTTCTTGAGGTGAAAGCTTACACAGCAAATGTCCAATCACAACTTATACACAATAGCTTTGTGATGTGAGTTGCGATTCCCACAATGTGCCAGCAGTCTCACCTGGTCCCCATTTCCATTCTTCGGTTCCCCTGTCCCTCCCTCCTTCTTATCTTTGGTTTGGGGCAAAGGCTCCCCTTTGGCCTTGTATAGCTGCTTGTTCTAGGGAGCATATTCTTGGCCTGTGTTTATTTTATGGCACCCTGTATTATTTAGCTGGAAGGTGACCCCCAAGAATGCCTTGAGTTTCAAGTTAGAAGACTGTAGTTGGGGGACCGTTTCAGGGGTTCTTCTGGTCTCTTTTAGATAAGTAAGACAGATGTTTTTCAAATTTTAAATTTATTTTGTATCTTTTACCCATTCTTACAAGGACTTTCTATTGGGGACTTAGAGAGACTGGTAATGGTACTGAGCACCATCTAGGTCTGGCTTTAGAGGAGGCTCTGGTTCATGTGGGCTATGGGTCTTTGGGACTAGTTGCTTCCTTGAATCTTTGGTTTTCTTCATTCAACATTTCTCCATGTGGGAAGAAACCAAACGCTGGTTCTTAGGTGGTTTCGCCCAAGCTTTTAAGATCCCAGACTCTACTCACGTTTTCTTTATGAACTGTTTGGTCCTCTGACCCTGATGACCCTCGGAGACTATGGTGCTAAGCCTTCCGATCTGGTAGTTCAGCCCAGTATCTGAAGTAGTTTTGACCCCTGTGCCTTCTTTGTGTTTTCTTAATATATGATTATATTTGCAGTATTTACAAATTTGATCTAGCGGTAAGGATTTTTATTGCTTCACGTTGAGTTGTAATCCATACTGAAGGCCGCAGATCATGCATCAGCAAACTTTAAATGTTCCTTGCTTTCAGCAAAGGAAGGTTGTATTGTTTGTCTGTCAAAGGTTGTCAATAAGCCTTTGTCCAATCCTGATGCTGTGTTCTTCCTAAAGGCCAGCTTCTTGGAGCATTTGCTTATCAGACAGATTGTGTAAATATGGTGAGAGCCTGCAACCCTGCTGCCTCCTGTTCCTGATAATAAACCACAGTGTTCCCTTGTTCGGTCTGAACAACTGCACTGACCCATTGCCTCATAGTCCTGTGTATCTCTCGGGATCGTCCTTCCTCTGGGTTATGTAGTGCCAGCGTCCTTCAGACGCTGTACTGCCTTTTCCTGCAGGACAGTCGGGGCCTCTGCATTCTCTAATTTGTGATTCTCCTTTCTTTCCCCTCCCATTCCTGGTATCCATCAAAGAAAGTTTCTCTCTGTGTATAAAGCTATTCTTGGCCTTTTACAATCGTTGTTGTTAGGTGCCGTCGAGTTGGTGCCAACCCGTAGCAACCCTATGAACAATAACACGAACCGCTGCCTGGCCCTGCAGCAACCTCGCAGCTATTCCTAGCTTTGAGCCCATCATCACAACCACTGTGTAATCCATCTCCTTGAGAACTTCCTTCTTCTTCGATGTTCCTCTGATTGACCAAGCCTGACACCATCTTTATAGCATGTGTCCTTTTAGGGTTGACTTATTTCACTCAGCATCATAGACTCCAAATTAACTCGGGGTGCGGGATGTTTCACAGATTCATCATTATTCTTTATCATTTTATAGTGTGGTATTGTATGCACGGACCACAGTGTGTGTATTCGTGTATCTGCTGATGAGCTCATAAGCTGTTTTTATCTTTTAGCTTTTATGAACAGTGTTGCAATGAACAGGGGAGGACAGATGTCTATTCACGTCACGGGTCGACTTTGCAATACATTCTGTCTGATAACAGAGCTATTCACATCTCTCGACTCTTATCGGCATATAATTCACACAGTATACAATTTAATAGCTCAATCATATTCAAAAGAGCTATACATTTATCACCACAATTAATTTTAGAACATTTTCTTTTTTCTCATAGTCATTGTTGTTAGCTCCCTGTTACTCCCCAACCTCCACTGCCATGTCTCTCGGTAATTATTAACCTACTTATTGTCTCTGATGTGATATCCTATCCTGGATTTCATACACAGAAAATCACACCAAACAAAAATAAGA